TTCATTGTGAATATACTGTTGTAATAATTGAGTTTGAATATGAGGCGATATTAGAAAATGTGTGACTGTAATTGTTATCAAAAAATGAGTTCTGAATATTAATCAACAAAATAATCAAAAGGTGAGATCTTCTAACACTGCATTGTCATTAATACATGGAAAACAAATAACTGCACTAACTACTTGGATTCAAACTTACCGACAAACGAATCCAATAGCTTCTTTATCTAACACATTCAAAGCACGAGCTCAACAAGGATAAGAAAAATATAAACATATTAAGAAAATGAAGCAGACTTTTGATAAAATACCTATTTGTATAAGAAATGTGCGTATATTATTTTTGGAAAGAAAGTGGGCTACAAGAACGTGATAAATCAAGACTTTTGACCAATAAGAACCGGTTTATTACTTGAACTCATTTAATAATCAAAATGGAAGCTATTCCACAAATAAATGTTCTGCAAGATTCGTACGTGATTAAAAAAGAGAGGGAAAGTGTATTAGACTGAAGTTTAAGAGTATCAGGTTTCTGTAAAATGCTGAAGATGTCTAAGAAAGACAGTCGCAAGAGAAAAGCCTAAAATCAGGCAGAAATATGAAGCATTTTACCAAAAAAGCACTTTATAATAAGTAGCAAAATTTTTCGAATGGAACTTCACGCAGAGAAGTTAGAAATGTACAATTGTGAGAAAACTTTTGGCACACTTCAGAGTTCTTGTTGATTTTATTTCTCCGTCTTCAATCCAATTTTAAGAGTGGGGTTGTGAGGTTTGTGAACCCTGTGTTACATAAACGGAGATAATCTCACTGTATCCTTAATCCACGAAATGAGGGATTTTCAATAACGCGCTGTAAGGCAAAGTGAACTCCAAAGCCGCAGCTGCCGCCCTCCATCTCCGGCTCATTTCCCGAATAAACTGATGTTTTGCGTCCTCCCCTTCGCCCAAAAAGAAATCCAAACCCAGTGTATTTCGAGTTTTGCCTTGTTGCAATACATCACTTGTAAAGTGGCAACATAACTTTCCAGGTCCGGGAATTATGCTTTCAATTTTCGCGGAGGGAAAAAAATGCCGGCCACTATGAAGCCCCTGTTCCTCTCCCGCGGCGCTTCGTCTTCACCCGCTAATGAGGCGTGCCCGGCGGATAACCAGGCGCTTCCCCAGCCCGCGTCGCCTCCGCCTCCGCCTCCGCCTTCGTCTCCGCCTCAGCCTCCACCTCCGCCTTCCTCTCCGCCTTCGCTGCCGCATCCGCCCTCGCCTCCGCCTCGACCTTCGCCTTCACCCCCGCCTCCGAGTGTGCCTCCGCCTTCGCCTTCGCCTCCGCCTTCACCTCCACCTTCGCCTCCGCCTTCACCTCCGCCTCTGCCTCTGCCTTCGCCTCTGACTTCG